GCTCAGGTAAATTAAGGCTCACCAGGGGAAATGATTGATTGGCGACCGAGATTTTATGATAATATGCATGGTTGATTTTACATTCAATTTTCTTTATGACTTTTAAATAAATACCGGATTATCTTTAAGTATTCTTAATTATTTTAATGGTTTTTAAAATAAATTTTAAACTACCACAAGAGCACTGGCATTCTTTTTACTCAGTTAAGTCAGAAAAATATTATTGCAATGCTGTTAAAACCCATTTTTAAATGGGTTCTTCATTATATGGGAATTTTTATCTACATTTTTGCTAGATGCATACAGAACTTTTCGCGTTTTCATGGCAAGTTCCTCACCAACTGGCAATTTTTGGCACAACTGTACATCTTTGCTTGTTGACATCAAAGGTAACCCTCGAAAGTCCTGCTGATTTGGCCAAAAACTAACACGACGTGACAGCCTCTGGCCAATCCCCGGTGCAAATTCTCACACCGTCATCTGTCAAAGCCATTTGGTGTGGCCTGTCGCAACCTACTTGGTACAGTCACCACCGCATACCTGTGCTCTATGGCAGGTGCAAATGGCAAATGGCGTTTCCATGCATTTAGCTGGCCGCAAAAACGTATGCAACACCTTTTGTTTGGCGATCGTGTGCTAATACGCTGTGAAAAAATGGTTCACCTCCACTCCGCACTCCTCATGCCTCTATACCTCTGACACTTTGCCATGGCTTTTTGTTCGGCATTTTGTTTGGCTGGGCTCTTTCCTTTTTAGCCTTCTTTTGGGCTTCAGTCGCTTTTCTGCGGGCGTTAACCGAGGCTGTTTTGTTGTTGACTTTGCGCTCCAGTTGCTGGCCGCGATAAAAAAAAAACCGTGGCTGTGGGCTTGGTTTTGAGGGGCTGACTGGGTGGCGGAGTAAAAGCCAAGCGCGTGTTAGAGAGTGCATATTTGCCTTTGTGGAACTATCATTAAACAAGTGAAGCCACCAGCAGAAAACTGCGGAAAACTACTACACACAAGCCACCACACGAGCTGCCCACCTCAATCCACCACACGAAACACATTAAAAGCGAGGCCAAAAGACAAATGCAGCCACACAAACAAAGCAACAAAGGAGCTTAGCCTCCACTGAAAAAAAGTGTTCAAAAATTTAATGTAAGTTTTCTTCTAATTAAGACACAGTGTGACCATGCAACTAACTGATTGGTCAAATCCCAACTTAAGGCACAGTGTGACCATACGAGCTTCATTTAGGTAAGAATTAGGATGTTGAACATAAATAAGTTAGAAGTTGAAGATTAATGATGACCAACATAAAATTTTGCAGTGTATGTGCTGCCTTTTGACTTCTCGCCTGCAGTTTTGTAGCCCTTTTAAGCTTCTAACTACGGCTGCTTCATCTGCAGCTCCTTTTTTTCTCGAACAGAAGCAGCAGCAGTCTCTTCCTTGGCTTAATGTGTTTTTGCTGCTGCTTCCCCCACATCCTAGCATCTCGGTATCCTGGTATTCTGGTATCGTGGTGCTCTTTAGCCCTTTCAGTCCTGTATTTGACACGACATTTTTGCATAGAACGGCGATCCACAGGAACTAACAACACTTTTAGGGCAAGCAACCACAAAGGATGCCAAAGCAGCAGCCAAGTGTCGGTCTATTTGCCCAAAAAATGCCTCGAGGACTGTTAAACCGATGCCTGGCATTGTCATCTCTCTATGATGTGCTCTTTTATTTTCTTGCGTTTGTTTTCCTTTTCTTTTCCTGCCGCTTGTGGTTTAAGCAATTTAAGGATTTCTGTTGGACATTTGAGTGATTTCTGATTGCTGTGTGTTTTTGTGGGCGGAATACTGTTTTTTTGCAGACTAACCAAGCTTTGTTTGCTGAGTGAAAATAGATCGGTTTATGATGCGAAAAACCTAAGGGATGTAAGAAGGACTTAAGCAAATTGCTTGAAATGCAAAAGAGAGGTGAGAAAGTGTTGGGATACCTTAGCTTTGGGAAGTTAAATCCAGCACATAGCATAGAAGTAAATATACAAGTACTCTGAGTCTATAATTCTTCCTCTAAACACACATTTTTATACGTTTATCCGACAGAAACGGAATCAACCTCTATTTTGTTTGCACAAATCCATGAACTGGAACTTAACTAGTTTCAGCACTTTATTGGTTGTCAAGCTCTTTCGACCCCAAGGACCAACGGATCGGTCCTTCTTGCCGAATTCCCCTTATAAAGAGAAACAACGCTTCAATTTGTCTCAAGTTGTCAGGTCGCGTTGCTGGTGTTGTTCCACTACCATACACTTTCGACTCATCGCCGCCACTTTTCTCGCCCTGCAACTTTCATCAGCCAACTAGTTCTGCCTCTTGTCGGTGACTTTGACACCGTTTTCCACTTTTCGTTAGCATGTGAGCGAAGAGCAAGGAAGTCTCAGACCGACCTCCTGCCACGCCTTCGTTGACATGGCACTTATTTTCTTATTATTAAGTATACGCTTAGTGGGCCAGCGGGGCGGATGGACGAGGTGAAGCTGCAGCTGCTGTGGAAGTGCGCCAAGTAATGATTACTTTGTGTCTGCCACTGACAAATGCCGTCAGTCAAAGTCAAAGCTGGTGACGAAGGACGAAGGATGCAGGGTGCAGGGTACTGGGTGCAGGCATGGTGTTGACGACGACTCAATGCGGAAGGAAGTTCAAGCACAAAAGGTGCACAGTCAATGTAAAGGAGTCGCCGGTCTCCTCCGTTTTTACCATCCAACAGCTCCTTTGGCCTGTGCATTCATGTGCATCGGCTTTCGATGGGATCAGAGAGGTGAAGCAGTACGTTGACAGTCCATTTCAATGCCCAGAAAGTGAGCTGCAGCGAAAAAAGAAGTGCACATTGTCAGTTTTGAAATTCTAATAAGAGTTTCACTTTTTCAGCTCACAGAGTTTATTGTTGGATTTTCAATGAGACCTTCATGAAGAACGAAATGAAGCTTTCGAACTGTTAGTAAATAAAAATGAATGTAAGTAAGAAATGGCGAAAAATCCTGCACGAAATGTTAGAGGATTTCAAATCAATAAATAAAATATGGGTTTTTTTTGGGAGTTATTGGTGTAAATGAAACCTACTGAAAAAATACAACATTTAACGTTTATATTTTTGGAACGATTTGATAAGATAGGTAAGTGCAAGGTCACACGATCTTTGTTATCAGTTGATTTGTCTGGAGATAAAAATGTTGAAATGTATAGAAGAAATGATAAAAGTATGCTCCATTTGCAGCTCTTTGATCAAAGAACTAAATAACGTATTAATATTCAGAGCAAATATAAACTAAACCCATTCGAAAGCCCATCAAGCAGCTTTAATGGTATTAAGAGCACCAGCGGAGATCTTGTGCAGATTACGAAAAATCATTTCGCTTTAGGCTATGGCCGATTGAAAGCCATCCCCACACAAAATTCAATTTCCTATCCACTTAGCCATTGATTACCATGGCCCGAACACTGCACACCAACGGCTTCCGTCGCCGCCCGTCAAATCCGTCCAAACAACACATCGTCTCCACTTCGGGCCACCGCCGAAATCCCCCCAAACCCAAAAACGATCCATCTCCTTGTGCTTGGCATTTCCGCTGTCACTCGCTTTAATTACGCCCCCGACTCCGGTCGACTTTCTGGCCGAGTGACTGGCCAAATCCAGAAATCCTCTATCAATAGATGAAATATGCCCGTCAATGCACTGGCCTCTGGCCATCATCAGTCATGGGCATATTTTGACAGTGGCATTAGTCGGAAGCTTCGAATCCTCCATCCTCTATCGAATCCTTCTCTACTCCTGCTCCGCGTTGATTCTCATTTGCAATCGAAACTTGTCCACGGGTGACAATCAATGCGAAACTGGCTTTTGGCCAACAGTTCCCCTTTGGGCCATAATCCATTCTGGGCACTGGCTTGGCACTGTTTGTCAACATTCAACATTCAAATGGCCTTCCTCGCTAACGACGCAAAGTGGCAATCAATATTTCTTTTTGTTGCCATCCCCCAATTAATAGCAGATAACAGTTCTTGTGTGCATATTTTGCCTTTGTACTACGCCCGTTCTGGCATATTTGTATTTTTTGTAATAAGCCAAAAGTTTTGTATAGCAGCCTCAAATTGAATGTGTCAGTTGCAGGCGATTTGTTAGCTTAATTGGTTAGGGCCAGGAAATAACCGCATGGCTTGCAAATTCAGGGTAATTATCTTTCTTAGTGTTGTGTTTCCATCTATTCTTCTTGATGTTTCGCTTAAATAATGGTGCATTAAGTTGCTTCAAATAGTTAAAATATATTTTATGAATGGGTTTTATTTATACCCATATGCCCATATGTGCTTTTAGCTGTATGCCGTTCGATAGAAGATACGAAATGTGTCTAGGAGCCCTAAACATGAGTCAAAATATAAATGGCCCACCCATGTAATACACGAAACGGAAGGTTTCACATTGACTTTCAAGATAACTTTGAGCATATTTGAGCATTGAAAAAACCATCCAATATTTTTTTTACCGGCACAACATGTTGCCAAAATAGCGATTTTCTCAAGAATTTTGATAAGCCCACTAACTTTGGAAATGTACTAGTTAACTCATTTTCATTACGATAAATTAGTTATTTAAATAAGTTTACAAAAATTGTACGTTGATTACAAATTACAAATTGGTTTCCTGTCGTAGCTGTTTTTTTATTTTAAGGTAGTTTATATTTTGGACAAACAAAATCGTAATGGACTGTAAAAAAAATATTTAAAATTTTTTTATATTTTTCGTTGTCAATTTACCCAAAAGGACTCTGAAACGGGACTCAGTTTTTAAAATACACGTAAAATAAAGATAACTTGTTAATGAAAGCGTGCGTTGATTGTGATAAGAGAGAACGCGATACAGATCTTGTTAATAATTTAGTATCTATCGCAAAATTTCGTTAACCAATTGGCTAATGAGTATTTTGGGAAATTAGAACATTTTGCGCGGTATAAATAGTAGGGCCAGTTGCTTGAAGTAGCCACAGAACCTTCTCAGTCTGGGAAAAGTGAACTTCAACCATCTACAGACATGAGGAATATTTACGGTAACCGAATCCGCAAGGAAGCCAACAATTAGAGCTAACGAATCCTTTTTTGGTCCCACAGCTTTTGCCCTGCTGCTCATTGCAGTCTTTGCAAGCACCTCCAGCGGTGCTAGCGTTTCCGATCTTCTGTGTCGCAACAAGGCCGACGGTATTCGGGCTGTGGTGCCCGGCAGTTGCTCCAGGTTCTATGAGTGCCACAACGGCGTTGCCAAGGAATATTCGTGTCCCAGGTACTACGACTTCAAGGTCCGCAGCTGCGTGTCCTATAACCCTGGTTGCGTCGAGGGGGTTGTAACGGAGCCAGTGGCACAGCAGTCTATCCGGGATACCGCTGAACCGTGCAGTGGAGCCACCACCACTGCACCACCTTGCGTGAAGCCCACAACCAAGCCTCCATGCGCTGGAGCTTCTACTACCACAACAACATGTGCTCCAACGACCACCACTACTACTACAACGTCAACAATCACAACCACAACATGTGCCCCAATAACTACGACTACTACAACCACTGAGGCTCCAACCACTACCACAACTACAACATGTGCCCCAACAACCACTACTACTACTACCACGACAACGACCACAACGACAACCACAACCACAACTACAACCACTACAACAACCACCACGACAACAACGACAACCACAACGTGTGCCCCAACTACTACGACTACTACAACCACTGAGGCTCCAACCACTACCACAACCACAACAACATGTGCCCCAACAACCACCACCAGTACTACCACGACAACAACCACAACGACAACCACAACCACAACTACAACCACAACCACAACCACAACCACAACCACAACGACAACAACAACGACAACCACAACATGTGCCCCAACTACTACGACTACTACAACCACTGAGGCACCAACCACAACCACAACCACAACAACATGTGCCCCAACAACCACTACTACTACTACCACGACAACGACCACAACCACAACGACAACCACCACCACAACTACAACCACAACAACAACCACCACAACAACAACGACCACAACAACGACAACCACAACATGTGCCCCAACTACTACGACTTCTACAACCACAGAGGCTCCAACCACTACCACAACCACAAGAACATGTGCCCCAACAACCACCACCAGTACTACCACAACAACAACCACAACGACAACCACAACCACAACTACAACCACAACCACAACCACAACCACAACAACAACGACAACCACAACATGTGCCCCAACTACTACGACAACTACAACCACTGAGGCTCCAACCACTACCACAACCACAACCACATGTGCCCCAACAACCACTTCTACTACTACTACCACGACAACGACCACAACCACAACGACAACCACAACAACGACCACAACCACAACGACAACCACAACAACCACCACAACAACTACCACAACATGTGCCCCAACAACTACGACTACGACTACCACTGAGGCTCCAACCACTACCACAACTACAACGACATGTGCCCCAACAACCACCACTAGTACTACCACGACAACAACGACAACCACAACAACTACCACAACAACAACGACTACAACAACATGTGCCCCAAGAACTACGACTACTTCAACCACTGAGGCTCCAACCACTACCACAACTACAACGACATGTGCGCCAACAACTACCTCTACTACTACCACGACAACCACCACAACGACAACCACAACGACTACCACAACCACCACCACAACCACCACTACTACTACCACGACAACAACGACGACCACAACAACAACCACTACCACAACGACAACCACAAAATGTGCCCCAACCACTACCAAAAGTACAACGACATGTGCCCCAGCCACTACCAAAAGTACAACGACATGTGCCCCAACCACTACCAAAAGTACAACGACATGTGCCCCAACAACCACCACATCTTCTACCACGACAACTACCGAATGCGCTGACAAAACAACTACAACCACCGAATGCGCTGACAAAACAACAACCACCAAATGCGCCGACGCCACAACAACTGTCTGCCCCACAGCCGCGAAGGCGTTGACTGCCACCCACTCGCTACGTAATCCCGTCCGCCGCAATCCTGTCCACCGCCTTCTTTGGGAAGTGGCCCAATGGGCGGGTATTTCTTCCGCCAGTTCCGAGGTTGCGATCAAGGTTTCCTGCTCCGGCAAACCCGATGGATTCCTGATGGCATCTCCCGAGCGGTGCAACGACTACTACATCTGTCGCCACCAGCGCGCCCTGAAGGTCAGCTGTGGTGATAGATACTTCAACGGACAGAAGGGCATCTGTGATCTCCCCGAAAACACCAGCTGTGTTCAGTCCTAAGTGATAACTTGCCCAAGTTCTGATGCCAACATTATCATGGAAATGTGACAACCAAATATGGATCGAAACATTTAATAATTGTAGAAGCACTATTTGAACATGCACTTAAAAAAAAGCAAAAGCCTATAGAAGGCAAAAAAAAAATATATATGTTGTGATTCCCTTCAATTTTCTGAGGCACAAAGTGTTAATCAACAATGAGCTTTTTCTTGACATTTGGGGGAATATATTTTATGAATAGCCTTCAAAGCGGAAACTTATAAAATACTTATATTACTTATCTAGTATTTTTAATAAAAACCTTTTAAATTTTAAATTAATTTTAATTTGAAAACTAAATAATAATTTAACTAACCAGATGTGATTATTCTTTTTTGGATTGCAGCTTCACAGCCACACGTTGAGCCACTTACAGCCAGAACTCCGAGCAACGCGCACAAAAACCATTGGAAAAATCCTCACGCACAATGAAAAACGACGTCGTGCGATGGAGCAGGCAGCCAACTAGCAACATCAATAGCAGCAACATTAGCAGCAGCAATTGTAGAAGCAGCAGCAGCAACAGCAACAGCAGCAACATCAGCAGCCACAAACACAGAAGCAAAAGCAACAAATTAAATGCTCGACAATTAGGGCCACATGCTGCCAGAAGTTGTCGGCAGAGAGAAGAAAAAGAAGAAGAACAACTAACAATCATTGAATGTGATATAGGAAATTTCAATTTCGATTGCAATTTATTCAAAACTAGTTTTTTAACGCACCACAAACCGAAACTTAGTGGCAACAGCAAAAGCAGAAGCAGATGCATCAACAGCAGCAGACACTTGGCGAAAACGAAAGCTGTATTGCTGTTAGCTCTGCAATTTAGTGCCGTAGTTTTTTTATGTAATTTTAATGTCGGTTTCGTGGCCGGAAGTGTGGCAACGGCGGCATCATCAGCAAGCGGCTCATCACCATCGACCTCATCCCCGCCCGCACCACCAGCTGCACCACCGCCGCAGCCACCGTCATCGCCACTCAAAGTGGATCCAAATGGCCAGTCGCCAGTGCTGCCGCCCTACATTCTCGACTATGAGACGGGGGGCAAGGCGAAGTTAACGCCCAACAGCGGGAAGTACGGCCAATCGGGGAGTTCCGGGAGCAACAACCAAATCGTCGGACACTACACCCACACCTGGGCGGTTCACATACCGAACGGCGATAATGGCATGGCCGATGATGTGGCCAAGGATCACGGTTTCGTCAATTTGGGCAAGGTAAGCAAACGAAGATATTCCAGTTTTAATATTTTTTATTTAGCACTAGGGATAAAAATAAAATATCAAGATGTGATGGTTTCATAGATCCTCTAAACTAGTTTTTTAGTCAGCGAAAGAAGATATTCCAGTTTAAATATTTCTTATAAAGTAACAGGATTAAAAAAATATAAAAATCAAAAGCTCCATAGATTTCTCAAAACTAAGAAACTCTGTAAAAGCTAATGTAAATCACAAATTCCAAGTAGTAGTCTTCCTTTCTAATCAAAACCCAGTCACATTTGTAATATCCTGCTTCATTTATCAAAGAAGATCTGGCCAACACCTAAAGCAATATCCAGTGAGAGTCGTTAGCCAGTTTAGCATATGATTAGAACACTCAAATGTGAGACTATTAAAAGTTTTTTGCCCAGAAGAGAAGTTTCTCGTTATGGAAAGAAGCACACTTGGCTCCTCTGGGGGTAAGCATATCAGTTGATATGGAAGAGCACTGGACAAAGTTTCTTCAGCTGAAATCAGTGTCCTCCCTTTGAAACCTCTGCATCTCTGAACTACCCAGCAGCTTTACTTGGTTGCCTGTCTGTCTGTCAGTCAGTCACTGAAAACATTGAAGGGGGAAAAAGGGGGGTTTGAAATGCGGGCACAGGTGTTGCCGCCGGACAAGTTTAATCCGAAAGCATTTCGACCATGTACTTTCAACTGCTACTTTGATACACACACCTTCGGCTTCTCCGATCCCTGCACTCCACTACTTCCCTCGAAAACACAGACGCGAACCCGCTAAGTGACTGTCAAGTTATCCTGGCAATGGGAATGGCCAGCACAAATGGAGCTCAAATCGCCTTGTAATGGCATCGTTTGCGATAAAACAAGGCAGATGGTGGATAGATGTGGGGCGGTAGTAGAAGTGCTCCTAAGTATGGATTTACAGATGCTTGCTCTAAGCTACACAGGCAGAAATCATTGATGGTGTGGTTTTGTAAAAATATATTTATTATTTTCTATGATGATGGAAACCTCTGGGGTTATAGAATCACAAAAAGGTCTATAAAAGTATGCTACAAAAAGTGTTTATTCCGAAAGACATTGCGAAATACGACGTTCATTTTTATTGCATACTTATCGACACCCTTATTTTTTTAACATTTTTTCAAATGTTAAAATATCTATACTTACTTTTCTGCTCGTGTATTGCAACAACTATCGGGAACATTTACCATCCGATGGGGGCATTTGAAAGTAAAATGCATTCCAAACCGTTATTTTTGCGGCTGCCAAGGGTTAAGTCCTGCTCTCCCGCTGTCTGAGCTCCAAATGGAGCCCGGCATTTGTGCTTTTCAATTGAGGAACATCGCAGGTGGCTGATGTAAAAAGCCCGAGCCACGGAAAAGCTCAACTGTGTCGATTTCCATTATAGGGCTCTACCTTTTGTTGGCGGATCGAGCGAAAAACCCGGTTTGGAAATGGATTGGGTGGATGGCCGCCGCGACTTAAGTAGCCTTCGTGTCGATGGAAATTAGTATCACTCACAATGGCGCCCCGTACTCTTTCGACCATTGACTTAATTGCCAGAAACAAAAAGCGGAAAATTCAATTTATGAGGGGGCGCGCACACAAAACTTTTGTTAGCACTCTGAACTAGTCGAAGCGGACGATAGACCCAAGATCTCCGGCGTTTTGCGAGGCAGATGGCCGGACTCTGGGGCCGCGAAAGTTAATTGAAAATTAATTTTAAATGGCATTGTTAAAATGAATCCAACTTAAGGCCAACCTGAATGCGAACAGACACCGAGTCTCGCTGTGCAAACGAAATGTGCCATTTTGCATAATTAGATGACGCCCGAAATGGCTGTAAAACTGTAATGAGCTGGGCGCCAGCGGAAGTGGAAATGAATCCTAGACTTTCTTCTGCCTTACTTACCTTTATTAATTGCCAACTAGATTCCTGGGAAATGAAAAATAAAGAAGTAGATCTAAGAGGGAAATGGCTGCATACATTTAAACGAGGTGTTTTGCTTGGTGAATAATATTGATTGTAAAATACATAAATTTGTTCGTTACATAAGATGGATTTGAAAATTATATTAAATTAAATTATTTTATTAAAACCAAGTTTAGAAACTTGAAGTGCTACTTGTTACATCCCATTAAGTTGCCTTTTTCTGGAACTCCTGAATATATTATATAAATTGTAAAAATTGTAAAAGGTGTATATTTTTTCAGGCGTTGGAACACAGATCAATAAACTTACCATTTTCTGTTGCTGGGCTACGGCCATAAAAACGGAATTAATTTGCTAAAAACTTTTTGGTGAACTTGAAGTATTTCCCTTTAATCATATTAAATTGCCTTTTTCGAACCCAACTAAATGATTCACATATCAAACACATTACTCACAAAAGTGAATTTGTTGTTCTGGACTCTCACCTGTACAATTGAAATTAAATGCTTTGGTAACCCTTCAACCTGAACCTTGTTACGCTTTGCTTCATCCAACACGAACTTTTCAACCCCTTGAACTTTCACCCCGCCTCCAAAACAGTTGAAACATAACTCGTCGAAAGTGTTGCCAAACATTTCGCACTTGTTCGTGTTGCTGCTTTTCCTTTCTGTTTCTCATGTTGTAATTTTTTGTGGGTGGGGCGAAACAAGCGTTAAAAACTAAAAACTAAACTAGCTGCGCAAACAAGTTACAAGTGCCAACGTAGAGCAAAAACAATTAATAAAACCATAAAGATGAAGTAGTAGAACGCGAGACTTTTTGCCATTTTGCTCTGTAACATCCAGAATTTTGCGATTTCAAATTGCAACTCCCGGGTCGTTGTGTATTTGTTTGTTTTCCTGAAGGAGAAGCAGCCGAATGCGGGGCACATCAACAAATTCGGTGTGTCAGAAGTTTTAATGAAAACGATGCTCCATATATATATATATATATTATAGAGTTCCAGCCAGTTCCTTGGCTTTCGCCCATCAAGTTTTCGACGGAGAAAACTTTTTGGCAACGAAATTATGATGATAAAATAGTGAAATAAAGTTTTTCTGGACAACGAGGGTTGGTGAGAGATATTTGGTGACAAGAAAAGTAGGAAATTGTAAAGTAACGCTTATTAACTGCACTTTTAATTTCGTTTGCATATCTTCTGAGCAAGGGAATTTTAAACAGGAAAAATAAGGGAAAAACTTCTTAAATTTACAAAATAAATTTCGGTTTTGTGTGTTTTTTAGTTCATTAATATGTATATCCGAGTTGATTAAATATATGGAAGCCAATTTACAAAGGGATTAGATTAAGTTTTCCTTATTACTATTTCGTTTGCATGTTTGAAGAGGAAGATTAAACTATCAAACTTTATGAAATGTTGAAGCCCTTTAAATGTCTTGCTTTATTGTTATGTATAACCAAAGAAATTAAATATTGAAGCAAAATTACATGAAGATTATATTTCATTTTCCTAATTATTATTTCAAATTAATTCCATATCCTTTAGCCTTTTTGGGTATCAAGAGGGTTTCCATTAGGTAAGCACCTGGAATGGCAAAACAAATTCGGAGGAATTTAGAAAGAAGGCACCTTGATAAGAAGTCCTGCCTGCAGGTCCTTTACCTTCCGCCTTCTGCTGTTTGTCATTTGCTTATCTGACTTTTGTCTTCCGGTCCCGCCTTCTTCTGCCCATTTCTCCCGGCATTGTTCGACTTTTGTATAGCGTCATTTACATAACACTCACTCTTTGTCCGCCTGCTGCAGTTATTTGGGTTCCTTGGTCCTTCTTAAGCTCCTATTGTCTTCCTTTGGCTTTCTGGACTGCTGCTGATAAATGTTATCCCCCGGCCTCGGCCACTCATCAATTTAATTGGAAAGCAAGAGAGGCGAAAAGCTTTTACCCACTTCTCCTCTTTACTGAAATTATTTGCCTTTTTTTGGGGGGCTGATTTTCTGCTGTTTTAATTAATTTGCCACTTTCTTGAGGCAGCGGGGTCAATTGAATTATTGATCGATCGGCAGCAGATTGATTGATTTTGCGGCAACCCCAGGCTCTCGGATGCATCGTACGCTTATTGCATTCACGTAATTAAAATCACCACCAGTCGGTTGTCCTTTGAGGACATTCGTTTTCCACCTGGCAGCCCTTTGCACTTAATTCCATCTCTGATAAAGGTCAACGGCTTATTAATAAGGGTCTGCAGAGAATCAGAATCCGGGTCCAAGGACCTTAACCCTAAGCCAAAATGAATGCTTCCCTTTTTTCATCTTCGAATCTTTTTTTCTGTCTCAAGGGAAACGTCAGCACAAAAAGGTAAACTTTTCAATGGGGCTTAATTGGTTAACAATTTGACAAGTTGTTGGGCACTAAGGTGACACTTTTCTGGAAAAAGACCTAAGCTCAGCTTAAGCTTCAGCCCTAAAGATTCTACCATTTCATTAATTAGTTCTTGGAAAAATGTGAAAGAAAATAATTTAACAAATAAAAATTGGAAACCCATTTTCTGTTTGAAAAAGTAAGTTAGTCTTATAACAATGGATAAAATATCGTCTTACTGACTAGATTTATTTCAACATGTCATGAAAACCTTTGAATATGAATTTGTATTTTAAATTAAAGCTCACATGTTTAGGCTGACATTACTTTTTAAGGGCCACAAAGATTAAATATATTTCAAAATTTTAAAAATATTCTTAGGAGTTTGAATTTCACACCTATTTTTCAACAGCTTAAAGGAAACTCCTTTGCATCTCTTTGCTATGCCCTAGTGTCATTTTTTTTTTGCCAGATTGCATTTATAAATTCAACCCTGGTGGGTTAAGCAGTTTGAGCAGCACTGGCTCAACTTTTAACCCTAGTTGACAAATTTTCCAAATATATTTTTGCACTTTTGCATGTCGGAAAGTTTGCCGAGCAAAGTTAAATATTGTAGGTGTCCTTGTGTGTCTATGTACACATTTGTACTTATGCCTGGTGTGTGTGTGTGTGTGTGTGTGTGCTGGCGTGTCCTTTGTTCGG